TTGACTTCCAGTTAGTTCTTTTTTTAGACAAGGTTTTGCTATATAGTTCAGGCTGACCTCGAACTCACAACATAGTCCAGGCTAGTTTCAAACCAATCTTGATCCTCCTGCCTCAACCTCTCAAGTGCTGTCACCATGCCCAGATTCCAGTTAGTTCTTAGCATCTGTCCTCTCCCTTTTCCCCTGTCTGATATCCTGTGTCTTTTCTGCTATATAGCAGTGTCCTTCTCTCTGTCTTACTGTCCTTATCTGGCCTTCTCTTAATTACAGGGCTCCTTGAGACTGTGGAGAATAGCACGAGCCTCCAAAGGCCTCTGCTGATTGTTCATGGCCACCAGGCCAAGTCTTCCAGGGACAGTCCTGGGTCCTGCCTATAGATACCTCCTTCTCTTTTTCCTGGCTCCCTCCTTTTCTCATGCCCAGCAGCTATATTTTGGTAAAGACTTTTGTGAATACTACCTGAGAAGGGCCTCTTGTAGTGATTATCTTCTCTTAGCCTGCCCCTGACTCCTTGACTCTGTGGGATGTACAAATAATCCACTATGATCAGTAGCACAGTGAACTGCCCCAGCCCAGCTTGTGTGGTTTGGGATGAGGTAGGATGTTCGTGGTATGTGGTGGCCCTCATAGGGATAGCCTTTTTCTCCTACAGCTCCTCACCCTCAGGTATGTGGATTTATCACAACTGGAGACATTGTTGGGTGCTATACCTCATGGGCATCCCTGTGGGTCATTGTGTTTGTCCTCCTCTTTCTGACTGCTTAGTTTCAGTGTCTCCTCTACAACCATAAATATGGTTACTCTCTACAGTCTTTCCTGGATCACTTCTCTGTGGTAATCACTATTCCTGAGAATTACTTGTGCACTGAACTCTTAACTCTGCTAGGTAAAAATGTACACTTACCCAATTTGAAATAAAATTATGACTGTTTGCTCCATGTTGCTTGCCTACCCCCTGTCATATTTCAAACCTACATTTGTGGTTTTGTTATTATACTGTTTAACACGTGATAGGCTTTTCTCCTGCAACTCCCCACCTCAGTTTATAGGAGTACTCCTCCTTGTAACTCAAGCAGGATGCCCACCATCCCTTCTCTCCCTTACCCAGGGACTCTTTTCTGGCTATTATCTTATCTTTGCTAGATTCCTGGCTGCGCAATCTTCTTTGACACAAAGACCAAACACCTATCTGGAAACTTTGGAGGCCCTGCCATCCTACCCCTTCACGTTGTAGCTTTGAACTTCCTGATTAATTCAGAAAACTCAGTGTACTGTTGTTGGGAGTTGATGTAGGTGCAAGGAACAACTGACTTCTTTCATATAGCTACCCAGTGAAGCAGGTACTGATATCTCTGAGACTGCCTGTGCTCTTCCCTCTACCTCTCATACCCTTGTATGCCACTGAGAGCAAACAACCTTTCAGGCATGGTGTGATATATCCCAGAACAGGATGAGACCCTTCTTCCCCACCCCCTGGCCTAGGACATCAGCAGTGTGCTTGCAGCAATTTCTTTGGACATTTGTTTCTTCTCCAGACTGGAGGCTCTGAGAGGACTGGATCCCTGTCTGATTTACTTTCTTAAAATTTTACTTTAATTAAATATTTAACAGGTTTTTATAGTGAATATATGTACATGATGAAATAATAACAATACAGTGAGGGATATGAGTCCTTTTACAATCAGTACCTTCATGAGGCCTAGTTCAAGGGTCAGTAAATGTTTGTAAATGAATGGAAGCCTGAGTGAATGAATGAATATCTGATATTGAAGTTCATTTTTCGTGTGTGAGTCTTTTAATTGCCTTGTTTGTGTTTGGTCTTTTTTATTTTACTGTTTTTTGTTTTGTTTTGTTTTGTTTTGTTTTGTTTTGTTTTTTGTTGTTGTTGAATTGATTTTTAGGAGAGATTTTTGGTTTTGGTGCCAAGGACTGAACCCATGGCTTCCAGCTTGCTAGGCAAGTGTTCCACTGCTGAGCCAAATCCCTAGCCCCTCTGTGAGTCTTTTAGTTCCTGACCAAGTGCTAAATGAAGTGGCTATCACTGATGTTATTGCTGCCCTACGTCAGCCCCACTATGAGCTCACATTTTTCTGTTCATGTAGCTGTCCTTACTGGTTATGCCAAGCATGGTGCTGAGCCCTGCGTAGCAGGGAGCAAACCAGATACCTCTTGTGGGGGAGTGAGCATTAAATAGCTCTTTACAAAGAGAAACTGAAGAGCCCAAATTGCAGTGCTTCCCACCCCTCTACAGCTATACTATATATCCCTAGAAAGGTAGTGTAGGATAGTAATCAAGGATGTGAACTGGGCCTATATATTGGAATCACAGCTCTATCATTTACAGGTCATGGTGGCTTCACAAAATTAAACTATATACAGAACAGTTTCCTTGTGTTTAAAATGTGCAAAATGGTTTCTATGCCATCAATTTACTGTTGAGTTTAAAGAAGTTAATATGTGACACCACTACAGTCAGTATCACCATCATTACTATTAGAGCATTCTAGACGATGGGTCTGGAGTGTGGCCAGCAGTCCTTCAGAACCGCATTATTGTCCCTATAGCTCTCTCCAGCAGGAGGTCAGGCCAAAAGAATGTCATGCCAGGATCTTGCCATGTTTCATCAGCCCTAAAATATTTTGGGCCACATTTTATTCTTCTTATCTATGACATCCTTATAGTCCATCCATTCAGGAAATCCAAATTGAGCATCTAATTTGGATCTGCTTAAAATGTCTCCAGAAATACTACTTTGTGATTCACATTGAATTTAAAAGTTACTATAGCTAGGAAGAAGAATCCTAAGTTAGAACCCAGGCTGAGCAACTTAATGAGACCCTGTCTGAAAATAAAAAGGATGGGGAATATAGTTCAGCACTCCTTGGATTCAATTCCTAGTATTGAAAAGAAAAAGCTATTGTGTACATGAAAGATTGTCTGTCATTTATCAGGTAACACAAATATAGTAGAAATTGCTAAATTTCCCAGAAAATTACACAGCCTACAGAGGGGGCCACATCCCAGTCACATGTTATAAAGGGCTGTCAGTAGCTTCTGAGTAGCTTTCTTTTCTTTTCTTTTTTTTTTTTTTTTTTTGAGGTAGGATCTCACTATAGGCCTTGAACTCACTATGTAGCCCAGGCTGGCTTTGAACTCATGGTAATCTTCCTGCCTCAGCCTCTTGAGTGTTGAGATTACAGGTGTGTACCACCACACACTGTTTTTGAGAGAGTCTTGCTATGTAGTTCAGGCTGGCTTCAAATTCATGGTGATTCTCCTGCCTCAGCAGGTAATCCTCCTAAATGTGCTAGGATTATAGGGGAACGCCATCAAGCCCATACCTGAGTAGCTTTCAAGAGCTTCTTTTGGAGAGGCTAGGACAAGATGATTCCTGCAAATTCAAGGCAAGCCTGAGCTATATGGTGAGTTCAAGGCCAGTCTGAACTGCATGGAAAGATCCTATCTAAAAAAAAAAAAAAGCTATAAATGAAAATTAAACTGTTGATTTAACCATGTGGGAAATACTTCTTTAGGATACCTAGAAATTAATCTGTTGGAAGGTCCTAGAAGAGCCCAGGTTTTAAGTGTGGGTTCAAAATGCTCTTGCTGCCCAAAGGGGTGGTAGATGGCTAGGTATATGCTATTGGAGATTAATGCATGTATGATAGGACATTTAATAGGTTTTTTTTAGAAGTCTTTTTTTTTAATACTAGGGATTGAGTTTAGGAATTTTACATTGAGCTATATCTCTAGCTTTTTTTGTAATCTTTTAAAAAAATTTTTAAAATGTATTTAGTACAGGGTCTACAGGGTCTCACTACATAGATCAGACTCATAGTGATTCTCCTGTTTTCAGCCTCCCAAGTGCTGGAATTACAGGCACTTGCCACCATGCTCAGTCTCAATTGCCATCTCAGCATGCCCCTGGGACAGGGCTGGCACAACACATGGGGTATCAAACCTGGCCGCTGTGCTCTGCCTAAGCAGGAGCTTTAGTCTGCTGAGCTATCTGGCTGGCCATGTAATCTATTTTGAAACAGGGTCTCACTAAAGTCTTAAATTGCCTAGGCTGGATTCTAGTTTATGAGCTCTTGCCTCAGCCTCCCCTGGGATTACAGGTATGCTCCACTATGCCTGGTGTCTAGAACAGTCTCTATTAGACTGAGGGAATGTTTCTCCACTCATAGTTCCCCACACGGGAGGAAAAACTGTAAGTGTCTTGGTGTGGACTTCCCTATGCAGGCATTATCTGCTTTCTGAAATAGTTTGTCATAGTGTGACCCGTCAGCTGTCTCCAAGTGGCTAGCCTTCTCTGTGGGCTCCTCTGCAGCCAGGCCAGCTTGGGGTAGATGTAATGGGCAGGCACATTGGGCCTTCTTCAGTGGTTTCTCAAGCGCTACGTCTTAGACCAAATCCAGCCTTATATCAGTGGGAAAATAGCACTTTACTCCACCCTGTTAGACTTGGGCTGGCATCTGGCTCATTGTGGGGGCCACAGAAGGAAAGTGTCTTTGTGAACAGACAGATTAGAGTACTAGTGTCACTTTAAAGCCTGTTAAAACTGCAGGTCCTGCTGGGTGTGGTAGTCCATGCCTGTAATCCCAACATTCACGAAGCTGAGGCAGGAGGATCATTGTGAGTTTAAGACCAGCCTGGGCTACAAAGGGAGCTCAAGACTAGCCTGAACTACATAGTGAGACCCTGTTTCAAAAAGACAAAAAAAAAAAAAAAAAAAAAATCAGGCTCCCACTCCAGACTTAAGGAATCTGAATTTGCTTTTTTTGGGAGTAAATGGCCTATCCAGGATCCTGCCATGTGGTGTGATGTGGTAATGTGTGTCAGGACTCACACAGGGTACAGCAAGTAGTGGTTGGAGGATGCTACTATGCAGAAGAAGGAAGGTGATGAAGGACCATGCAGGGTCACCCTACTTGCTAGAGTCCATAGGCTGCTTCTCTAAGTTATGTCTCTAACACATTCATTTTTTAATGTCATTTCAGTGTTTCTCGGAGACTGGACCCCAAGGAGCCCCTCGGTAGCCAGAGAGCAGCTTCCCCAACCCTAAAGCAAACTTCTGCTACTGCTCCAGGCCGTGAGAGTCCCCGGGAAACCAGGGCACAGGGGCCAGCAGGCCAGGAGGCTGATGGTCCCCGCAGGACGCTGCAGGTAGACAGCAGGACACAGAGATCAGGGCGGTCCCCCTCTGTGTCACCAGAGAGAGGCACCCCCACATCACCCTACTCCGTCCCCCAGATTGCCCCTCTTCCCAGCAGCACCCTGTGCCCCATATGCAAGACCTCGGATCTCACATCAACCTCCAGCCAGCCAAACTTCAATACGTGCACCCAGTGTCACAACAAGGTCTGCAACCAGTGTGGGTTCAACCCCAACCCTCATCTTACACAGGTAACCACACTCTGCGCCGGCTTCCCACTTACCTATTGCCACATTACCATGCTGCCCCTGGTGCCTTGCCCTCTACCAACTCTTTTCCTGATCATTTCTCTAAGCCTTCAGCATCTGTGTCTTCCTGATTTGGGATAGGGGTCTGGTTCCTGGCTCCAAGATGTGGCAGCAGAGAACAAGGCCTGGTCCAGATTTCCTAGGGGATTCTTTTACCCCAAAAGGCTGGGCAGAACCCCAGAATATGAGATGCTTTCTTACCTGGTTCAAGTTTGGCCTGAAACACCAAACCTTGGAGAGGTCAGTGGTAGGTATATGGATAACTTTTTCCAATGGTTTCTCATTTGGAGAGGGTGTGAACAACTGGAGCACAAAAGGAGGCATGTTTCTTTGGCTCTGGGCCTGCCTATCTCCCTGACAGTTAGGAAACCCCACCTCTGAGCTCCTGTTCTAGTTAGCTGGAGGCCTATAGTGGTGGACCAAGCTACCTATCCTTAGAAAGATGACCTTGGGTAAAATAGACTCAGGCTGGCAGATTTGGCCTCTATTTATTTTGCTCCAGAGTATTTCAGGTACACAATGCCCAGTTTTCAGTTCCCCTGTTTTATTCAGGTGCTTTGCATTGCTGTAGGATGCCTTATCAAGGGTCTGAAGGGTCTCTGGCACCCTGGCTGAGTGCTTTTGAGTTTTGGTTGAGCCAGGATCATTCCTTTACAATGAGTTACCTAGGTTTGTTGGCCTCCTTCTGCTTCTCTAGGATAATGCACAGATGTCTGGTTCTGGGCCGGGGAGATAGCTCAGTGGTCTGCCTGGCAAGCACAGGGACCCAGGTTCAATCCCTCGTACCACATGGTGCCAGCCACCAAAACCAGGTATGGTGGCACGTGCCTGTAATCCCAGCACTGGGGAGGCTGAGACAGAGGATCACTTTGAGTCCAAGCTGCGTAGCAAGACCCTGTACCAAATAAACAAATAAAAAGATTTTAACAAAAGAAGTCTGGTTCTCCCTACATGGCTCTGCCCTTGGACATTGTGGAAAGTAGCTGACTATAAGCATGGGCCTCAGCGCCCCTGGGATTACCAGCAGCTGGAGCCGTTTGGACCGTTTGGGAGGGGGCTGAGTGAGAATAACTGTTCACAGGTCAGGGTCTATATATGCCATGAGGTGCTGTGGGTGTGGGATGTGTGGTTTGTAAGAGGTAAGTGTGAGATTCCAAGGAAGGAGCTGTTGGGGGGAGGGCGATGACTCAGAGCATTTGGAGTCACTCCTGGAGTGTGGAGGCTTCCTGAGGAGGCGTTCTTGCTCGTGATGGTTGCATCTGTGATTAGAAATAGGCCCATCCCTGCACTGATCAGTTAGGTAAGTGTCTGCTGCTCAGTATTGAGCACAGTGCCATTTGGGCCAGGAAAGTGTGCCTATGTGTTTCCGCCAGTGAGAAGCTAGAAGCAGCTGGTCTCATATAAGCAGGAGGTTTGGCAGATGCCCGTGGCCCTGTGGGGAGCCCTTCTTATGCTGGCCTTGTCCCTCTGGGTCCTAGACTCCTTGAGATGTTCACCTATGCTTCAGTCCCTGATAGGGTGGGTGAGCTGCACAGAGTGGCACCAGTCTCCCAGTGAGCACCCCAGCCCTCAAGATGCCACAGCCTCTGCCTTCAGATTCCCCCAAACCAGACCTTTAATCAAGGTAGGAAGGGAGCCAGCCTTTAACTATGCCTGGAAAAACAGCAGAGTAGGAGGACCTTAGGGCCACTCAGTCCATCTGCTTCATAGTGTTGGAAGGAAGCTGAGGCTTAGGGCCAGGAAGAAAGTCAGCCCAAACTTACTGCACATTCAGTTTTTGGTGAAGAGAAGGACTCTTGGCCAAGTACTTCAAGCAAATATTAGGCTAAACAAATTAAATTATTATTTTAAAAATATTTATTTAATTTATGAAACAGTCCCATTATGCACTTCAGGCTGACTGAACTCACTATGTAGCTAAGGCTAGCTTCAAACTCACAGTGATCCTCCTGCTTCAGCCTCCCAAGTCTGAGATTACAGGGATCAGCTAGCCTGTGAAATGGTTATTGCAGTGAGATTTCTTAGGGCATTTTTCATCCTCCTGGGTATTAGAAGTTCCAAGACAGAGCTGTAATTGGTAATCTTATCTAGATTTGCTTTCACAGAATATATTTTAGTTGCTGTTCCATGGCATCCAGTTTGGGAAATGCTGATTTAAGACCATTTTGCAGGTTCAGACCTGGTACATGTCCTGTTCTTCCAGGGTCTCCACAGTTGGCTCTCAGGGGTATTTCTGTCAGGGACACCTAACCTTTGATACATTTTTCTGAGGAGTGGCAGAACATAATCTTTAAGCCAATGCAGTTGCCCTTTGCCACTGTGCTAAGGGCACATTTACCTCTATAGTTGTACATCCATGTGCTGAGAAAACAAATTCATAGGCTTTCCTCACACACCCGCTGTTAGAGCTGTCCTGGAAGACAATCTCTTTTGTACATTTATAACTGTTATTATAAGCTAAGAAGGCTTCTCTAGGATTAGCCTTGTGTCTCTGGGCTGAGCACTTCCTGGCCTGAAGTTCTGCATGTATGTGAGGGGCTGATTCTGAAGTTAGGTATCTGAGTTGCAGGGGGAAAATGATGTACTGCAGACTAGCCACAGGGAGTGTGGTCACAGGGACTCTGACTGGGTCAGAGAGGGATGCAGCTGGACCAGCTAGGACAGCCCTGAGCTCTGGCTGGGACTCTGGCTGGGAGGCGTGGCAACTTGGGTCTTAGGCTCAGCGCACGTAATCTGGATGCGTTGCTTCCCACTGGACAGACAAGGGATTTGAAGTCACAAAGAAGAATAAGGGCCACACCACAAGTGATTTGGGGGGCTTGGGGGGCCTCTCCTGGGTCTTTGGATATGTGAACATGAAAAACAGAATATTTTTCACAAGCAGAGGCTCATTGGCAGGTGTGTAATTCAAGAGCTTCCCAGACTAGGAGTTGGATAGAATTGTGCTAATGGCTATATGGGGACCAAGGAGCAAAATGGAAGACAAGAATTTAGCACAACCAGGTAATGATCACCATGACTCAAGTGTTTTTGTGTCACATGCCATCTGTTAGGGTCTTATTACTTCAACAGGGGCACAAAAAGGACAAATCAGGTCTAGAGATGACCCAGTGTAGGACCTAGGCTGTCAGGCCTCCTCCACTAGGGCCCAGTATTACTATAGGGACTGAAAGTTTCAACACAAAGATCAAAGCCAGCCCCATCAGCCAAAAGCAGCATTTGAGATCTGGAATCCCTGGTCTTGGATGGGGTCCTGACCTCCTGCCAGCCTGGGAAAATGCTGGCTGGCTCTTGCACTCACACAGCCTGGTAGTTGCTGCACCTGCCTGTGAGGCTTGGCAGAGAGGAGAAGCCTACTAGGTGCTTTGCTGTATCTACATACATGGAGTCATTAAAATGCATGGAAACTGGGGAGCAGTTTAGAGCACACTCTTCATTTGTAGACAGGGAGACTGCATTTCAGGAAGCCTGGCTCATTCTGGAGTAAAGGAACAGGGAATCCATTGCCACTAAATGAAAATCTAGTTTTCTCCTATGGGGTTCCACTCATGGCTCATTTTTACTCAGACTAAAGCTGCTTTGGAACAAACAGAGCTGGGCCAGGACCTCTTCTTGGATCTTACCAGTTCTGGTAGCTTAGGGTAGGTAAATAATTTGACCTTTTTGAAACCATGGTAAAAGACTGAGAAGTTTTCTTTTAGCATTTGAACATCTCCCACTACCTATGCAAGAGACTCACTTAGACAATAGGAGGACACCAGACCAGAAGTGCTAGGATTCAGTCTTCATGGTGAAAGAAAGGAGAAATATTGGTATCTTCTTCTCTTCTTAGATATGGGTTTTGAACAAGTATTGTAAAGTTTCTGAATGTCAGATTTCAGTGCAAGAGGAGCGTGAATGCAGGCCTTGGTGGTTTTGCTGATTCCCTGTGTGTGCTCAGGCCTGTTAGTCTACCTCTGCAATCTTAGCAACTTATATTCCAGCTAGCCATCCCTTTCCACCCCAGAAAAGAGGCCTTGGCAGCTGCTGTTAGGCCTCTATTCTGGTAGCTGGGGGTAGGAGCCAAGGCGTGGGCACGTGCTGGCTGGGCAGAGAATAGGAAGGCGAAGTGGGTTGAGCAGTGAGGCTGGGAGTGAGCTGCATAAGACAGTGAACAGTGGCCTAGGGTAGTACAGCAAATTAATTCAGAGAAGCCCCTGCCTCACGGCCTAGGCTGTATCTCATCTACGTGAGTCTGTGTGTACCCTCAGAGCAACATCACAATAGAGTGCTGGGAGAGGTAGGGCTGCTCACATGGTCAGGCTTCTAGTCAGATCAACTGAAGGTTCCCAGAGCACCACCCAAAGAGAGGCCCACTCTGCCCCAGGGAGAAAGGCAGGACTTCCACTTCCCTAGTAGGCCAGATCTATCAGTTTATCTGCCCCATCCTTTTTTTTTTTTTTTTCTCTCTCTTTTTTTTTTCCAAAATTTTATTGACAAACAGCAATGAGACAGTTTCAAATCAAATCGGAAGTACAGTTTCAACAAATAGCCCCATCGTTCTTTATAAGTCCTTCTAAGAAAAGTACCACAATATTCTGGGAGGCTGATGCAAGAAGATCATGAGTTTGAATCCAGCCTGGGAAATTTAGGGACAGAGCAAGACCCTATTTCAAAAAAATTAGGGGTAGGGAAGCTCAGGATATAGATTAGTGCAAAAGCCCTAGAGTCAATTCCCAGTACCACAAGGAGAAATTTTTCACTCACCCAGTCCAAGGCTTGGACTTACCCTAGCCCTGCTCTGATGGCAAGACTAAATCTTCATCCAGTCATCAAGGTGGCTATTGGGGAAAGTCAGGGAGCTGACACAGTGGCTCTGAGCCTCTCCCTCTACTACCTGCATTTTATTTTTTTCCAGCAAGAGCCAGGGGCACCAGATGGCCTAGGAGTGGTGCTGTGAATTC